CTCAATGCAATGATGACCAATCTGCCAGGTCCCAATGTGAGATGATTCAGCTTCTGCCACGAGTTGGTGGACCCGTCACCATATTTCAGTGACTGTGTCTTTGATGTCTGTGTGTCGGGAAATCGGGGCAGTGATCTTCTGTGCAGGGCTCTTGAAGCATATGTGAGTGCCTGTCAGTCTGCTAATGTCCGAGTCTATCCTTGGAGACAAAACACCACCTGCAGTAAGTATACTGTAGAAGGCCCTTTAATGTTAGAGTAATCAATCCAAAAAGTGTTTTATTCAATAGTCTCTTTAACTATAGCATCTTATCTGCTGAAACCCATTTATCCAGCTCACACTTTGTTTATTTTCCTTCCATGTAAAGGAATTGAGTGCCCAGCCAACAGTCATTATGAGCTGTGTGGAACAGATTGTGGCCACACCTGTGCCAGCAGCATTGATCCCCCCTGTGACCATGTTTGCTCTGAGGGATGTTTCTGTGATGATGGTTTTTCCAGGAGTGGAAGCAGCTGTGTCCCTGTGGAAAGTTGTGGCTGCCAGTATGAAGGCCTCTACTTCAATGTAGGCCATTTAAGTAACCTGATTCTTATTTATTGGGGTTTTCATGTTTGCTCAGAGATAAGAGAATAAGGGCCCAAACAACACATTATAGTTACTTTGACAATTTAAATTATATGTTATATCACTGTATTTTTACACTCACAAATACTAAGACATATCATGTGTGCGTGTCATATGTACCAATATTTCTCATATTAGATCAGAAACTTTTCCTGTCAGTGAGTGTTTCCAAAATATTATTTATATGCAAAGATTGACGATATGATATGAGAGAGATTTTTTGCAGCATTTCCTTCTTATTTTGAACTGTAAAGTTACAAGCTTATATGGGTATACTACTGGAAAAGCGTAAATTATTATCTAAGGGCTTTGTAGGCTTCAAAAAGACTAATTTGCAACACTCAGTTTATTGTATTACTCTTGACATATTTTTATGTAAAATTCCAATTCCAAAGATCATATTGCGACTGATTAATAAATATTTGTCTTTTTCACTGGTGCACTGATTCAGTTTTGTAATATATTATATGGCCCATTTTTCTGGAACAATAGCATGTTGTGGGGTCCGACCTTAAATATGGGTTAAGTTGTGTGTGATTTAAATTGAGAGAGTAGCAAAAGGTGTTTTGTATTTAAAGTGTATGTGAATACAATTCCTTAAGGTTGGAATTCGCAATTAATAGCATTACCGCATTAATGTTCGCTGTATCTTTACTGGCATTCCAGTTTTCAAGTTCCGAGTGATGATTGGCTAAATTGATCATGTCTTATAGGTTTGGTTTAGGGACTTAGTCAAAAAATTTCCTGTTATTTGATTAAAGCCAAAACTGAAAGTAAGGAATAGAAACTTGGCCATGGCTAATCTGCAAATATAATTTCAAGCTGAAAAGAAGGATTACACTACCACATTTGTTCTTCTTATGCTTCATAATTTCTAAATACTGTTGCACAAATGAATATTTTTCCTATTTTGTCACCTTGAAGGCTGGCGAGTCCTTTTGGACAGATGGATGCTCCCAGAGATGTGAATGTCAAGCACCCAATGTCCTCAACTGCTATCCTTCATCATGCACTCCTGCACAAGAATGCTCTATCAGAGATGGTCAGCTGGGCTGTCATGATCCAATGTCTACCTGTACTGCATGGGGTGACCCACATTACAACACCTCCGATGGAGCCCTGGCTCATTTTCAGGGAACA